GCCAGTTAGAGGTTATGAAAGGCCTGTTCTGTAGCTTGATGAATCTTCTTTCACAAGTGTAAATGCTGTGGGTGTGTGTCGTGTTTTATGATAAAACCAGGCCTCCCAGTGTAACCAGTGCTTCTACATGCAGGTATGTCCTGATCAGCCCTCCGTCCAAGTGGTGCGATCAGCTCAGACTCAAGTTTCTAGAAGGTTTCTACGCTTTTCTGGAGCTGCTCAAGTGCATGCAGGTAACATGGAGACAATGTGAGGTTTACCTGTACAGGTGCAGCCCGAACATCTCTGAGCCTGTCTGTCTGTGAACCCACCTCCCTGCAGGGCATGGACCCAGTGGTGAGGCAGGTGGGGCAGCATATTGAGATGGAGCCTGAGTGGGAGGCGGCGTTCACGCTGCAGATGAAGCTGACCAACATCATCACGATGATCCAGGAGTGGTGCTCCACTGATGTGAGACAACACACTGAACACGCTACATGTAACATTACAAATGTCACCTTTTATGTTTCTACAGTTTATTTTTTGTTTTCTGGATCAATAATCTGATCAGTTTTAAATAAACTGATTGATTGAGTGAGCCATCCAAGCCTTTTCTTTGCTCCTTTGTGTGTGTGTGTCAGGAGCGTGTGCTGATCGAGGCCTACAAGAAGTGTCTGAGCGCTCTCAGTCACTGTCATAACAGCCTTCCAGATGGTGAGCAGCCAATCAGCTTGAGCCTGGCAGGCCACAGTGTGGAAACGTTCAGGTATCAGGTGTCTCAGGAAAAAGTCTCCATACACCTGCCGGTGTGCAGGCTGCTGGCAGGTAAACACACACACATTTTAAAAGTCACACCATCTGTCTCCACGTCCTGTTTGAAGTTGTATCGATCACCTCCTCAGGTCTGCACATCCTCCTCAGCAGAACAGAGGTGGCGTCTCATTTCCCTGAGCAGCTCCCATTGGTCAGTAACTGATCTGATTATTATTGATCCCTGATTGGAAACGCCATTTTCAAACCAGTTTGATTCATTGATTGTTGATGCCACGTGTCCCTCAGGGTGAACTAAGCCCCCCCCTTCTGATCGAACTCCCCCTCCGTTGCCTGGTGCTCTGTGCCCAGGTGCATGCTGGGATGTGGAGGAGGAACGGATTCTCACTGATTAACCAGGTGAGTTCTAACCTGTTTATCTATGCAGAAGGGATCAATGCTGATTAGCTAAGTTTGTGCTGTTTGTTGTTTCAGATTTATTATTACCACAATGTAAAGTGTCGAGTCGAGATGTTCGACAAAGACATCATCATGCTACAGGTACAACTCGCCTCTACTGACGCTCCACTTATTCTACCAGTGCTGATTCAGCAGCACTAACGCCTCTGTGAAGCGTTGGTGCTCTGCTCACGCTTGCTGCTGTTTTTGGTTGGGTGCAGGCAGGGGCGTCCATGATGGATCCAAACCACTTCCTGATGATCGTTCTGAGTCGATTTGAAGTGTTTCACGTTTTCAGCACTGCTGACATCAGGAAAAGATACAGAGAGGCCAACAAGGTCAGTCCTCTTCTGTTGTCAAGACGCCGTGATGTTACTGCTAAGCTTATCGGCCCCACCCTCGACACAGATACATTTCCAAAGATTGTTATGTTAAAGCTCCTGCAGCATCAGGTGATGCAAAGCTGCAGCAGATTAAACTCAGACACCTGCACGAACAGACAAGAAGTCAGATTTCGCAGCAGGTCGCTTTGACTTGTCTGTTTATTTGCACGTAACGAGAAATTAGAATCACGTCTGCAGGTCAGACATTCACATTACGCTGTGTTTGACAAGTCCTCAAAAATCCATTTGCAATGTTGAGTCATTCGAGTTTAGATGGCGAAAATGGACTCTGCAGGTTAAACACTACAGGTGTATGACTGACTCCTCCCACTCTGTCCTGTGTTTCAGGACCTGGTCCAGCAGAACAC